CAACTCCTGTTTGGGTGGAACAGTGGCCATTACCTAAAGAAAAACTTGAGGGTTTAAAGAATTTAGTTAAGGAACAACTGGCCGAGGGGCATATTGAACCAAGTACTTCTGCATGGAATTCCCCTGTGTTTGTCATTAAAAAGAAAAGTGGAAAATGGTGCTTATTAACTGATCTTAGAGCTGTAAATGCCTGTATTCAACCTATGGGGACTTTACAACCTGGTCTTCCTAATCCAGCCCTCATCCCACAGGATTGGAAATTAATGGTCATAGATCTTAAAGATTGTTTTTTTACTATTCCATTATCACCCCAAGATTGTGAAAAATTTGCCTTTACTGTTCCTGAATATAATAATAGACAGTCTACTCCAAGATATCAATGGAAAGTTCTCCCTCAAGGTATGCTTAATAGTCCTACTCTTTGTCAAGAATTTGTTCATAGAGCTTTAAATCCTGTTAGATGTCAATTTCCTACTGTATTGATATATCATTATATGGATGATATTCTATTAGCAACTCCAGATGAAGTCCTGCAAAGTCAAGTTTTTCATGCTTTACAACAGCAATTAACTCAATATAATTTACAAATTTCTCCTGAGAAAATACAAACTCAATTTCCCATTCAATATTCAGGATACCTTTTAGCAGAAAAGCAGATTCGGCCACAAAAAGTTCAAATTCGAAGAGATCAACTTTTGACTCTTAATGATTTTCAAAAATTGCTAGGAGACATAAATTGGCTTCGCCCCGTCTTAGACATACCTACTTACAAATTGCAACATTTATTTGCTACCTTAGAAGGGGATTCAGATTTAAATAGTTCCTGTCAACTATCCCCTGCAGCAGCAGAAGAGTTGTCGTAGAAAATAGAATTAGTGAAGCTCAACTTAATTATATTGCACCCAATCTTCCACTCTCTTTATGTCTTTTTCATACTCCTCACTTGCCAACGGCCATTTTACATCAAGATAATAACATTCTGGAGTGGCTATTTTTGGCTAATAAAACCATTAAAAAAATTCACCCATACATTGATAAATTGGCTGAATTAATTATCAAAGGACGACATCGAGTTCGTCAATTGCTTGGTACTGACCCTATTAAAATTATTACTTGATTATCTAATCAATACATTGAGTCTCTATTGGAAACTCATGAAGGTTGGCAAGTGGTTTGTGCTGAGTATACTGGCTCTTTTTTTCAGCACTACCCTAGCAATAAATTATTTGCTTTTCTACAACAATATCCTTTATTGCCATATAATCCCATCTCTTACACCCCAGTTAAAGGTCCCACCTTTTTCACTGACGCATCTAGTAACGGAAAAGCTGGATATTGGACTCAGGATAACTTTAAAATTTCTCACTATCCATTTGAATCAGTGCAACAGGGAGAACTTTTTGCCATTCTTATGGTACTGCAGGACTGGCCTCAAACCCCTTGTAATACAGTTAGTAATTCTCAATACGCTGTATACGTAACTAAATATATTTCTCAAACTTCTTTGCCATTATTTCCCAAAACTCCTTTATAAAAATTATTTTCTTTATTATTTATGGCTCTTACTTCTCGCACTGCCCCCCTTTTTATCACTCATATTCGTTCTCACTGTACCTTGCCAGGACCTTTGACTTTTGGCAATAGTCAAATTGATTCCTTACTTATTGGCAGTGTCCAACGTGCTCAGGATGAGCACCAATTGCATCATACTAGTAGTTTAGGATTACAACGGCAGTTTTCTATAACATGCCGACAAGCCCGAGCTATTGTCAGAGCCTGTCCATCTTGTGCTCCTATTATTGCACCTTTTCTAAGTCCAGGTACTAATCCTGAAGGCACTCAACAAAATCACATTTGGCAAATGGATGTCACTTATGTCTCTTCTTTTGGTCGTCTAAAATATGTTCATCATACAGTTGATACCTGGTCACATTTCCAATGGGCTACTCCATTACCCTCCGAAAAGGCTGACTCTGTTATCACTCATTTACTTACTTGCTTTGCGGTTATGGGAGTTCCTGCTGAATTAAAAACTGATAATGCCCCTGCTTATCGCTCTTGTAAATTGGCTGCCTTCCTTTCTTTATATCATATTCACCATTCCACCAGTATTCCATTTAACAGTCAAGGCCAAGCAATTATTGAAAGAGCCAATGCTACTTTAAAATTACAACTTTCAAAACAAACAGGGGGAAATGGGCGAGATTCCCGAAAACATCAAATTCTGAAAGCCCTTTTTACTTTAAATTTTCTCAACCACTGGTGCCAATTACAGCAGTCGGCAGCAGTGAAACATTTTCAACAGCCTTTAGAAAAGCTGCAAAACAGTAATCTGTGGGTGTATTATCCTTCATTACTAGGGCAATATTTAAAAGGAAAAGTTTTACAGTAGGGCCGAGGCTATGCTGTTGTCCGTACAGGTGCCGGAGACGAGTGGTTTCCATCTCGACAGTTGAAACAGTGCCATGGCGAAGAGGAGTCGATCCGAAGAGTTCCTTAAGGAATTTCAGGAGCTGAATCTGAGTGCTCAGAGAACATTCACCTTCGGGACTCGACATGCGGAGCCCCCGACATGGGGTCTACTGAAAAAGCTTACTCAGGAAGCTGAAGGGGTTGTTCAACAAGCCAGGCAGCCCAAAACCCCACTGACTTTATTCCTGGCTATGCTGGCTGTAGTGAATTGCCAGGTAACGACTGGAGAATTTACATACTGTGCTTATATTCCCTTTCCACTCTTATATCAAGGTGTGGCCTGGGGAGACAAAGAAGTCCCAGTATTTACTAATGATACTGCTTGGATGCCATCACCTTTTTTAAACCAGGATCCTGAACTAGACACTGGCACAGTAAATAATTCATATCCATTTGGAGTTGAAGGGTTACCCATATATCTTGGGAGTAGCCCACATTGTCTGCATCCTTTTCATGAGGCTTGGGCTGTTCACTATAACCATAGTCATATATCTGCCTTTACTATGATTATTGTGGCTCAAAGTTTTAAGTATAATCATACTGCATTACTTAATGAAACTCTGCCAAGTACATTATCTTTATGCCCTGTCCCTGATGTGTCCGGAGGTGTTTCCCAACTAGAGTGGACTGGATGTAGAGGTAGTGGGCCACGATTGTTGTTAGAAGTAAAAGGGAAGAGTTGTAAATACCTTGTTACAGATTGGAGTGTACATGGAGATTTTCAAACTAAATTCAGCCATGTCAACCTGTGTTGGCATAAAGGTAATCACAGCATTTCTGCGGATGGCAATGAAACTATTATTTGGCATGATGGTGGTCTATCACCCCCTATGCCACATTTGGCTAATACCTCACAAATACAAAGTCATATTTGGAAGTTGCTAGCTGCTGGTAAACCAATGTTCACTTTCACGGGAAACATGTCCTTAAATCTTACTAATATTGCTAACCCTTTCCATATATCTTTGCATCAAAATACTTCTAGATATGTTATTGCATGTGTAAGAAAGCCTTACTTGTTGTTGACAGGAATTATTAAATAGGATAATAATACAGGGGTAGTTAACTGTACAAACAATTGCACATTCTTAAGTTGTATAAATACTACTTGGTGGAATAATAATTGGAATGAGTCTCATTCCGATTTATATATACTAAGAGCCAGAAAAGAAACCTGGCTACCCATGAACTTAACACATGCCTGGAGTGAATCTGCTGGGGTTACTCAAATTTACAAAGTAATGCAAGATCTTGTCCACCACAGCTGGAGAATGGTTGGAGTCGTCGAAGCAGCAGTGGTGGGACTTGTAGCAATTGCTTCCACCACCACTGTTGCTGGATTAGCTCTACACCAGAGTATACAAAATGCAGAATTTATGCAACAATGGCATGAACAATCACATTTGTTGTGGCAGCAGCAATGAGACATAGATGCTCATTTGACTGAACGAGTGGATAATCTGGAGCAAGTGGTTTCTTGGTTAGGAGATCAGCTAACAGTGTTGAATACTCAAGCTTTGTTAAAATGTGATTGGAATACTACCCAATTTTGTACTACTCCTGTTCCTTTTAACAGCACTGTACATAATTGGACTGAGATAAAGAGACTTTTAATTGGCCATAATAATCTTTCCTTAGAAATACAAGAATTAACACAAAACATTTCTGAAACATTTCACAATCAGTTACTGTTGCTGACCGGAGCAGATTTGATGACTGGTATTGCAAAAAGCTTGACGTCTTTAAACCCTATGAGCCCTGTAAAAACTTTACTGACTTCTGTTTCTAGTAATGTATTGATTGTTGTTCTTGCCTTTGTCATTTTCACAGTCTGCTGGAGACAGTGCCAAAGGGCAAACACCGAATCCCAGCGAGCTCAACATGTGATGATGGTTTTGAAAGAAATTCAAACTTGTAAATAAAGAAAGGGGAAATGTAGAGGACTACGTGCTCGCAAATGAGATGTTCCCGATAAGTCCTGCTCTTGCAAACAAAGCAGGACGTTCCTTCCCTGCAAACAGGGAGGACAAAGGAGTCAGCTGCAAACAGCAGACCCTGGGGACTGGTTTATGTGTAAACATCTTGAAAAACCAGAAAGTCAGGGAAAGGTCAGAAAAACAACATGTGTCTTGTGACTTGGCAACATTCCACAAATGACTGTATAAAATAAATCAGAGCGTGCCATTCGGGGCAGCGCCTCATTTGTCTCGTCTTGTGTTGTCTTGTGTGTTCATTCCTTTGTCTAGGAAACATGCGAACCCCAACAATCCCTGATATTGAGAAATATTAAGATGTGCAAGGCATCAGTTTCATTGACTTTCTGTGATCTCCATGAAGGAATGTGTGCTCTGTGTACTAATTTATTAACTGGTGAAACCTATCATAGCTGTACTCCTTTGGGCAAAAAAAAGAAAAAAATTGTATTTCCAGGGCTCATATTGTCTGGGGGCTTTTTATCTTTTTTGAATTGGGAGAGGGATTAGAGAATTAGTACTGATCCTGCCTTTAAATGCTGTTTCATTCACCAGTCGATATGCAGTGGGGATAAAGCTGGTCCTCCGCCCACTCAGAAAGGGGGGACCATCTCCTGCTCCAGATGTGGTCGTTGGAATCTCTGGGAGGCGTCCTTCTGTGGCTGGTGTGGAGCCATGGTGGGTATTTTAAAACAGATTCTGTATACTGAGCACCTGGAGAGAGCCAGGCACTTCTCCCATGGCCTTGCAGAAATCACTTCTTGTGATTTTGCCACTGGTACCTACAACCTAAGAATCTGGAGATAGGGATAATTAATTATCTTACATTGAGAGCCATCTCTGGTGATGGTTTTGATTTCCTTTTCTTTGAGGTTAAACCTTTTCACTAATTTATTGACTGCTGGCATTTTAAAAAATGAATTCTGTCTGCTTGCCTGTATAATAAAACACTCAAGACTATGTATTTATTCAATTTTCTAAGTATCACATGCAAATAATAAGAAAGTTTTAGAGCGAAGGGTTAATCTCCTTTCTAAGTCCCACAGTTCTCCTCTCAGAAGCAATTGCTCATATCCAGTTCTTGAGATGTTCTTTCAGCTATTCAAGGCATGTATAAGTAAACTGGTGCTATGAACACTGATCCAATTATTTTCACCTAGCAATATGTCTTGTTAATAACCTCTTCATTCTTTCCAGTGGCTTCATAATCCATAGTTTGTATGTATGTACTGTAATATATTTAGACCATTCCTATTGCTGGACATGCCTGTTGTTTTCAGTGATTTCTTTTAAAACCACAGTGCTTTAGGGGTTGACCTGAAGTACACTTCTTTCTGTACTTGACCATCTGTAGGATAAATTCTGGAAGGTAGAATGGCTGGGCCAGAGAGTGTGGGCATATGTTAATTTGTATGGGTATGACAATAATTTACATGGGGAAATTATAACTCTAATATTCATCAAGGTATTTTCTATCCTCTAGCTTGGCATTCCTGCTGGCTGCTCTGTTTGCCCTAAATGTGGGGCCAGCAATCACCTGTCTGCCCGATTCTGTGGCTCCTGTGGTATTTGTGTGAAGTCCTTGGTGAAGCTTAGCTTGGATAGAAGCCTGGCTCTAGCTGCTCAGGAACCTCGCCCTTTTTCTGAGGTGAGGCCTCCCCTGTAGTAAGAACTGGTACCCAGGAAGAGGCTGTAACTCTGAATGTGTGTGCTCTACCCTGTGAATCAACCCGGGAAGAGACCCAAAACTTTTAGAACTTTCACATGGAATTTCAACTAGGTGTGTAAATAAATGCAGTCAATTTAGATTTTAAACACTCAAATGATTTCTTCAGAAATCAAAGATCTAAGTGGGCATATTTATGTGTAGTAAACTGAGGTCTATGCCGTTGTATTTGTGGACATAATGCCACTTTAGTGGCTTTAAAACACATGAGATAGAATGCACTTCTCTTGAATTTCTTATGTAGCATTCTGAGAACTTTTCCTTCCCCTTGTTTATATTTTAGAAAACTTAGGTATATAAGATTGCTTTTGTAATTTATAACAGCTGGGCATAGTTTGAGGAAAATCTCACCAGGTTATTTTCAGAAGTACTTAAGCTTTAACAATTGGCTTTGTGTTAGATTTTTATAATTATTTTATAAATTTCTCTAAGCTGGATAAAGACTTTTCATGTTTCCTCTTATCTCTTTATTATAAGAAGTTAAAGATTGATAATTATTAGAGGATGCACTCAGCACTTTGTATGCAGTTTTAGGGAGTTCATGACCTTCTTTTGTGAGATGGAGTCTTGCTCTGTTGCTCAGGCTGGAGTGCAATGGTGCAATTTTGGCTCACTGCAACCTCTGCCTCCCAGGTTCAAGCGATTCTGCTGCCTCAGTCTCCTGAGTAGCTAGGATTACAGGCACATGCCACCATGCCCTACTAATTTTTGTATTTTTAGTAGAGATGGGGTTTCACCATGTTGGTTGGGCTGATCTCGAACTCCTGACCTCATGATCTACCCACTTTGGCCTCCCAAAGTGCTGAGATTACAGGCATGAGCCACTGCACCCAACCGTTCATGGCTTTCTTAACCTAGTTTGAAAGATTTAAATCCTAGACTGCCACTAGCTCTTACTCCTTTGTGCAAATGAAACAAAGGTGTTCTTTTCTCAAGACACTTGACTGCCATCTATTGGAAATTGCTTGTAATATACTGCTTTTTCTACTAGAAAAATTATCCTAATATTCAAATATATGATGTTCACCATGTGAATGGTACTACTTTGAATGCAGTGATGTTGTGCAGTGCACAACCTTTCATGGTAGTCCTCTCAGGTCCCCAGGAGAGTATGTTAGAGAAAATGTTGGTGACCAGTGGCCGAGTGTGGATGAGTAGTGAAGTCTATGCTCTATTGCATTATAGAGCTGAAAAGGATAGATATCTTCCAGGCATCAAGCAGGCCAGCGAACACCCCTGGATTTGTTGAATTTTAGGTAATAAATGGCTAATCATGGATCAGGCTGGAAGTTGCTGGGAAAGACAGGAGCAAGGAAGATGAGCCAAAGACTGGAAAACTCTTAGTTCAAAGTACAGTTTTTTTTGAGATACTTTTTATTCTGATTAAAAATGTTTTCTATAAGTAAATGCAAGATTGATTAAATCATATTCTAATTTAAAAAATGTTTTCTGCCTCACTTATAGCCCCAATGTGCCTGGCAGTCACTGAATATTCCTTTGCCCAGATCTGATGCTGGGACTAAGAGGGACATAGGCACACAGACTGTTGGCCTGTTCTACCCATCCGGCAAGCTGCTGGCAAAAAAGGAACTGGAAATAGCCTCTCAAAAGCAGAGGCAGGAGAAAATGAGTGACCATAAACCGCTTCTCACAGCCATCAGCCCAGGAAGAGGTAAGGGGGAGATGTCCTTTCTTCTGGTCAGGAGGGAATTCACTCTTTCTCGGAAAGAACATTTCATTTTCTCTTCGTTTTAATTTATTTGTATATGTAAGAAGTAAGTTTCTTTCTTTTCCTCTTTTTCAAGGAATTTTCTTTGTATGGGAAAAAAGAAGCTCTTCTGTAAGCTCTTTCTTAAACTGTCAGTACTCTGATGTTTTAGCTCATAGCCCTGTTGTCTAGCTCCTTAGTCACATGGTGCATGTGGGTTTCTTTTGTCGTGGTAGTGTGTTGTTAGTGTACAGTGCTATTGCTATCTGCCATTATCCCTTTTTTTTTATTGTGGTAAAATTTATGTAACATAAACTTTACCATTTTGACTATTTTTAAGTCTATAATTTGGGCCAGTTGTGGTGACTCATGCCTGCAATCCCAGCACTTTGGGAGGCCAAGGCTGGAGGATCTCTTGAGTCTAGGAGTTTGAGACCAGTCTGGGCAACAAAGTGAGACCCTGTCTCTACAAAAATTTTTTTTTTTTTTAAGCAGTCATTCGTGGTAGTGCATGCCTGTGGTCCCAGCTAGGTGCTTCAAATTTCATTCTGAAACTTAATCTCCATTATGGTGGTATTAAGTGGCAGAACGTTTTGGAAACTGATCATGAGGATAGAGCCCTCATGAATAGATCAGTGCCTTATGAAAGGGCCGGAGGGAATGAGCTAATGCCCCTTTTTGTCCTTTGGCCCTTCCTCCATGTGAGGACACAGCGTTCCCCTCCTTTGGAGGATGCAGCAATGAAGCACCATCTTGCAAGCAGAGAGACCAGGCCCTCCCCAGAGACCTAACCTGCAGGGACCTTTATTTTGGACTTCTAGCCTCCAGAACTGTGAGAAATAAATTCCTGTTCTTTATAAATTACCCAGTCTTAAGTATTTTGTTTATAGCAGTGCAAATGGCCTAAGACATTTTGCTAGTATTTTGTGGAAGACTTTTGTGTCTGTATTTATGAGATATTTGTCTGCAGTTTTCTTCTTTCCTTCTGCTGTCTGTCTGATTTTGGTATCAGGATAATGGTAGCCTTATAGAAACACTTCTTTCTTTTTGAAGTGGTTATGAAGAATTGATATTAACTCTTATTTAAATTTTGGTAAATTACCTATAAAGCTATCTGGATCTGATGTTTGTCTAGTGGGCAATTCTGATTACTCTTTACTTTTTATAGGTCTGTTCAGATTTTCTATTTCTCGCTGAGTCAGTTTTGGTAGTCTGTGGTTTTCTAGATATTTGTCTTTTTCATCTGATTAATTTATTAGCATGCAGTTGTTTGTGATACTCTTTTATAATCTTTTTTATTTCAATAAAGTTGGTGATAACATCTCCTATTTCATTTCTAATTCTAGTAACTTGAGATGTCACTTTTTTTGGTCAATCTTACTAAAGGTTTGCCAATTTCATTGATCTTTTCCAAGAACCAATTTTTGGTTTTATTGATTTTCTATTATTTTTATTTCTGTATTTCATTAAATTCCACTCTAATCATGATTTCCTTCTTTCTTCTTACTTTAAGTTGACTTTACTCTTCTTTTCCTGGTTTAAGGCCAAAGATTAGGGCGATGATTTTGAGATCTTTCTTCAGAATGTGAGCATTTGCTGCTATAAATTTCTGTTTGAGCTTTGCTTTCACTGCGTCCCGTAAGTTTGGTGTACCTTCATTTTCTTTCTTTTTTTTGAGATAGGGTCTCGCTTTGTCACCCAGGCTGAAGTGCAGTGGCACAATCATGGCACACTGTAGCCTTGACCTCCTGGGCTCAAGTGATCCTCCTCCCTCAATTTCCTGAGTAGCTGGGAGCACAGGCACAAGCCACCACACCTGGATAATTTTTAAATGCTTTTGTAGAGATGGGGTCTCACTGTGTTGCCGGTGTTGGCCAGTCTCAAACTCCTGGGGTCAAGTAAGCCTCCCACCTGAGCCTCCCAGAGTGCTAGGATTACAGGCATAAGCCACTGTGTCCAGCACCATGAATCCAGGTTTTTTGTCCATTCTGACAATCCCTATTTTTTTTTTTTATTGGATCGTTTCATCCATCTACATTTAGTGTTATTATTGATAAAGTTGGACTTACCATTTTCTTTTTGTTTTCCAAATGTTTCTAAATGCCTTTTTTGTTCCTCTGTTGCTCCTTTACTGCTTTCTTTTGCATTGCATGTTTTCCAGTGTAACATTTTGATTTCTTTAATGACTTTTTCACTACATACTTTGAGTTATTTCCTTAGTGACTACTATAGGGTTTTCCTCATACATCTTAACAGACTATACTTCAAGTTTATACTAACTTAATTCCAATGAAATATAGAAATTCTACCCCTATAATCCAATTCCCTCCTCCCAACTTTTGTGGCATTGTTTTCTAGTATAACATTATGTTTATGTTTACATATATGTTATAAACTTTCAAAACACTGTTATTAGTTACAACATGATGTCTTTTAAAGATGCTTAAAGAAAAAAGAACTATTATATATTTATGGCTTTTGTTACATTAGCCTTCTTTTCCTCCATTTATAGTTCTCTTAATTTATTCCTTTGGATTCGTTTCCTAAGCCCAATGAAGCTTTGCTCTTACCCACTTCCTTTTCTTTTTTTTTTTTTTGAGATTGAGTCTCACACTGTTTTTTTTTTTTTTTTTTTTTTTGAGATGGAGTCTGGCTCTGTCGCCCAGGCTGGAGTGCAGTGGCATGATCTCAGCTCACTGCAAGCTCTGCCTCTTGGGTTCACGCCATTCTCCTGCCTCAGCCTCCCAAGTAGCTGGGACTACAGGTGCTCGCCACCACACCCATATAATTTTTTGTGTTTTTGGTAGAGACGGCATTTCACCGTGTTAGCCAGGATAGTCTTGATCTCCTGACCTCGTGATCCACCCACCTTGGCCGCCCGAAGTGTTGGGATTATAGACGTGAGCCACTGTGCCTGGCCTCACCCCTCACCCATCTTCTTTGTGTTGTTATTGGTCAATATATTTTATTTCTATATGCTATAGGTCAAACATTATAATTCTATTCATATTGTTTTACATAATCTCTTTTTGAATCTGTTGAGAAGAAGGGAAAATAAATATGTATTTGTAATGTCTTTTATAATTACATCATTACCTTTACTGGTGGTGGTGGGCTGTGTGTGTGTGGGGTGGTGTGTGTGTATTCATATTACTCTCTAGGGTCATTTGCTTTCAGGTTAAAGAACTTCGTAAGTATTCTTATAAGGTGGGTTTGCTAGCAATGAATTCTGTTTTTGTTAAACTCTACTAGCTGTAAGATTCTTGCTTTACAGTTGTTTTCTCTGAACACTTTGAATACGTCAATCTACTGTCTTCTGGCCTCCATTATTTCTGATGAGAGTTCTGTTGTTAATATATTGGGGATCCCTTGAACCTTAGGAATCACTTCTCTTTTACTTCTTTCAAGATTCTCTTCTTGTCATATTCTTTCAACAGTTTGATAATGTGTCTTGCTATGGATCTCTTTGAGTTTATCCTACTTGAAACTTACTGAGCTTCTTTTAAAAAATTTTTTAAACATTTTATTAAAAAAATTTTTGTGGCCGAGCGCGATGGTTCAAGCCTGTAATCCCAGCACTTTGGGAGGCCGAGACGGGCAGATCACGAGGTCAGGAGATCGAGACCATCCTGGCTAACACGGTGAAACCCCATCTCTACTAAAAAAAATACAAAAAACTAGCCGGGTGAGGTGGCGGGCACCTGTAGTCTCAGCTACTCGGGAGGCTGAGGCAGGAGAATGGCATAAACCCGGGAGACGGAGCTTGCAGTGAGCTGAGATCCGGCCACTGCACTCCAGCCTGGGCAACAGAGCGAGACTTCATCTCAAAAAAAAAAAAGATTTTGTGGGTACATAGTAGGTGTATATATTTATGGGGTACGTGAGATATTTTGGTAGAGCCATGCAATGCATAGTAGTAACACTGATTGCATAAACAAACTTGCAAAATGAAAACTAATAAAAACTCTAGATGTAATCCCTCCCGCTTTTTAACTTTTTATTTTTTCTCTTTAGTCTTATTGTACTGTCTTAAAAAGTTGTTGTAGTTATTATTTTTGATTGGTTCATAATTTAGTCTTTCTAGTTAAGTCAAGAGAAGTCCACACACCACGATGACAGTGTTATGCTATTCTGTTTCTCTGTGTGCTTACTATTACCCATGAATTTTGTACTTGTTGGATAATTTCTTCTTGCTCATTAACATCCTTTTCTTTCAGATTGGATAACTCCCTTTAGCATTTCTTGTAGGACAGTCTGATATTGATGAAATTCCTTAGTTTTCGTTTGGGAAGATCTTTGTTTCTCCTTCATGTTTAAAAGATATTTTTTGCCAGACATACTATTCTAGGGTAAAACTTTTTTTTTTCCAGCATTTTAAATATGTCATGCCACTTTCTCCTGGCCTATAAGATTTCTGCTGAAAAGCCTGCTGCTGAACAAACGTATTGGAGCTCCACTGGATGTTATTTGTTTCTCTTCTCTTGCTGCTTTTAGGATACTTTCTTTATCCTTGACCTTTTAGAGTTTAATTATGAAATGTCTTGGGGTAGTCTTCTTTGGATTAAATCTGCTTGGTGTTCTATAACCTTATTATACTTGAATGTTGATAGTTTTCTCTAGGTTTGGGAATTTCTCTGTTACTATCCGTTTGTGGTTTTTTTGTTTGTTTGTTTGATTTTTAAGATGGAGTCTCACTGTGTCGCCCAGGCTGGAGTGCAGTGGTATGATCTCAGCTCACTGCAACCTCCACCTCCTGGGTTCAAGCGATTCTCCTGCCTCAACCTCCCAAGTAGCTGGGATTAGCAGGTATGAGCTACCGCGCCTGGCTAATTTTTATATTTATAGTAGAGATGGGGTTTCACCATGTTGGCCAGGCTGGTCTCTAACTCCCGACCTCAAATGATCCACCCCCCACGTTGGCCTCCCAAAGTGCTGGGATTACAGGTGTGAGCCACTGCTCCTGG